GTTGCGGTGGTGGTGGCGGTGGCGGTGGTGGTGGTGGTGGTGGTGGTGGTGCTGGTGATGGTGATGGTGATGGTGATGGTGATGGTGATGGTGATGGTGATCATCATTATTGTCATCATGATCATAGTGATGATGATGCTTTCATGCCTGTATGCCTTCGGGCATCGTGAAGAAGATCAGAAGCCGCTCGGGAACGAAACTGTTGTTTTCCCAAGCCCGTCAAAAAGCAGTGCTTACAGGGCCTGCGTCTTTGAACCATTCGGACATCTCCTCCAGCGCTTGGTCGAACTTTGGCGAGCATTGCCATGCCATTGGATTCACCTGCCAGGCACTGCTCCTGAAAAACCTCAACATTTCCTCTAACAGTGCTAAGAGTACAAAACGGTTAGGCTTTGGCATTTTCGGCACATGTGCTTCAACAGAAGCAGCGGCCTCGATGATCTCAGCTTCGACGCTGAGGGATCTGGTGGCGACGGTCTAGCACCGGCTGGGTGCTGGAGCCAATCCCACTGCGGAAGAACGGTCGAATCAAGGCCATTCCGGCATGCTACAGGCCCTGATGTGTTGGTTGCTCCCTTGCTGCCAAGCCGCCTCGGGCGCCACCTCTGGAGCTTTCCCGGCGGCTGCCTCACATCAATTTGTGAATCTACGACAAGCTCTTGCACCTCCTGGCGCTACCAGATGCCTCTGCTGGGAGTGGCTCGGCAAGGCTGCCATCGTCCTGTCGGCGATGACAAAGTGCAATGCCGACACCCATACCCTGAAGATTGTAGATGCTACGGAAGCTTGCGCACACTGTGGGCATGCGCCAGAGCGGGTCCTTCTGAAGGGCCTTGAGTGTCTCTTCCAAGCGGCCACACAAAGCCGCCTCAACATGAATGAGTGAGGCCGAACACATCGAACTCACCCAGGTCTCCTGCCTCTGCCAACACTCCCCGCAGCTTCACAGCCGTGGCTTCCACATCTGCACCTCGTTGCTCGGCACCTGAAAAACGGCGCTGCTTTGCGCGCTTTATCTGCGCTCACACGCACGCGTCAATGCCGAGGCCGAGGCCTTCCAGGCTGCGTGCAGAGGCCAAGGCTTCCGCTAACTGCCCGCACCTGCGGTCGCAGCACTCCCGCCATTGCTCTCCCTCTGAACGCTTGATAACGCATGGCGGGGCTGTTCGTATCTCTCTCGCGCCCTCTGCCATCGCCATTGCGTGATACAAGTACCATTTATCTCCAAGGCACTCTGCCGCATGTTGCAGAGCCTGCAGAGCGCGCTTTGCAGGAGTGGGCCTAGCTTCCAACCCCGTCCTGCTGTCTGCACCTACGCTGCGAGAATGTAGATATGTCGTATATAGACTATATAGATGTGGACCGTACCGTGCCATGGGCAGTGCATGCAGAGCGCATCATACCGAACCAACCTGACCTCACGCAGGTGGGCTTTCATGATCTCCATCTCATGCGGTGGTTCCCCCTGTGGCGGAGCAGGGACCTGCACATTGGAGACGAGAGGGCGGAGCCTGATTCGGACATCGATCCTGCCTTGCCGGGGTGCTTCAGGATCCCGACTTTAGCCGCCAGCATGCCAGATTCTAAGGCTTCCTTCAAGAGCCTTCTGAACTTCGCCTCGCGATCCACCAACAAACACGCGGATGCCAGAGTCAGCATCTGCTTATACCCCTGGTCGCCCTCGCCTTGATGACCGCGATCTGGTCCGATGCAGCCGCACTGGAGGGCTGTGGTTCGCCGTAACTCCGAAGAGCATCCAAGGCCGCGGCCAATTTTCCAGAGTCGACGGCCTGCAGTCTGAGTAGGTCCGGCACTGGCAAGCATTCCGCTTTCGGCAGTTGGGTATCCCATCAAAACTTGTAATATGATTGCTGCCATGTGGCATCTTCCACGACCGTGCAAAGGTTGCTGCGGACTGCCTCCAAATCATCTTTGGGGGCATTTTTCATCGTCTCCTCCTGCTCCTCTCGCAGCAATCGCAGGGCTTCCTCCAGCTTTCCAGTGTCTGACGCCTCTTCGAGGACTCCTCGCAGCTTTTCGCCCAAGGCTTCGAGGTCGCTCTGGCCCGGAAGCCCGGGAGGTCGCTCTGCAGCCACGCTCTCGAGAAGCTTCTCCAACTCTTTTGCCAAGGTCCCAGTCTCAGCGGCCTTCATCATGACATCTTTCATCCTGCCCTTGATGGCGCTGAGCTCTTCGAGGGCGATTGAGTCGGCTTTAAGCACAAGCCCTTCGCGTTCAGCCGACTCGTTCATCGTCTCACGAAGCCTGTCTTTTGCCTCTTTCACATCCCCCTTTTGCATGACCTGTCGCCGGACACATGGCAGAGCTGCGTGGCTCAGGCGTCTCAAACCGATTAGGAATTAAGTCCACGCACAGGGCCTTCTCCAAACCCTGCTGCAGCAGCCCGTTCCTCAGGCCCTCCTGCATCTTCGCCTGGGCATTCACCTCACAAGTGTGAGGGGAAGTCCGAGGCTCTACTCAGACACGAGTAGAAAAGCGGTTAGACTTTGAGTCTCGCGACCAGCTCGTGCGTGGCACGTGGCAGAGCCGGAGCAGCGGTCTTGGCTTCTGGCCCTCCTGAAGCAAGGCACGCGAAGTCCTCTGGAATCATCAGCAGTCAATTTACTCAATTTGCCCCTCCTGCAGCGTCGGGCTGGCCCATGCGCTTCGTTTTCCTTGGTGCGGGCAGGTAGCAGCTAGCATTGCCAAAACGGCTGACAGAAGTGATTCGTGCTTCTAAGCTGCTCCAAAGCCTGTAGTACTGCACTAGGGTCAGCATCGAAGAGCGCAGCCTTCATGCGCTGCTTCAGGTGCTCCATCTCCTGGGTATCTCACATCCACAAGACAGAAACCGCAGGACATATTTGGTGGTCAAGCTGGAAAATCTGTGAGTCGCAGGCGGAAACCTCCTCCAAGGCCTTCTGCGCGCCGGCCTCCTCGGCCTTCTCTGCTGACATCCTTAGCGCAAAACGCGTCCAACCAAGACTTCTGGGAGGGAGTGTAGCATCTCGCAGCTGACTTTCGGGCCGGCGGCTCTTGCAAGACTGCGAGCACTCTGCCGGACTCGTTGGCATCCAGGAGAAGACTCTTCCTAGGCTCGTTGTCAGCTCAGGCCGGCTCCTTCAGATGTGTCTGACCATACCCTTCAGAAAACACCAGGAAGTGGTGTGCACCCAGGTTCAGATTCGCTTTCAACTTCTCGATCTCCTTAGTGCACGTGAGAATGCGCAGCCGCTCATGGGCCGCTCATTGCAAAACTCGCAGTCGGCTATTTCGTACAGGTAGCACTCGCCTCGGTTGCCTCTGCCTTCTCTGGCCTGGAGATCCTCAGCTCAGCTCGGGGAGCTTTGGGAAAGACAAGCGGCACAAATTGGCAGATTCGGGCTTTAAAAGGGCTTTAGGGTCCAATGTGAAGGACATGAGGGTCACAGTTGCATGTCCGCCTACTCAAACCGTGAAGCAGGAAACTTCTCATGTGCACATGCGCTCAGCACTGAGACCCTGAACAGCAATCCGGTATCTACAAGCCCCTACTTCATCGTCTTCCTGCCGGACTGCTGTGCTAGAATGTCCAGCACTTGGCCAGACTCGTTCGCATCTAGCAGCACGTCTCGCAGATGGCCCTTCAGCTTGTCAAGATCCTTGGCTGGTTCGTCTCGCACGAGGTCGAATCCAAAAAGACTGCCACCAGCATTCCCCGACAGTGACACACATCAAGAAAATCTTGATGCAAGCCACTGCGACATCCTTCGTGTCCATTGTGCGCTTGAGGGCCGCTTCCAGCTCGCCTGCTGTCTGTTGGGCGGGCGAGGCCCGTCCAACCGCAACAGCTCCCTGCTCCCTCTTTCTTTCGCCAGGGCTAGAGTGAGGGAGTCTCCCCTCACGGCGCTCCCTCTCTCTCCCTTTCTTTCCCTCTCTTTCTCTCGCTGTCTCGTTGGCGGAAGTGTTTCAAGCGAATCCTTCCTCGGAGGCCAAGATCAAAAAAGCACGCCAGGCCTGTTTCGGCCGACTTCTCAAGCAGGGCCTGGATGCGGCTGCGGCTCTTGTCAACGCCGACAGCTGACAGAACCTTGGAAAGGTGCCCGGATTTACATCGAACCTGGAAACCTGCCAGCAACAACAGCGGCTCCAGCAGCAGCAGCGAATGCAAGAACCATCACGCTGACGAAGAACACTCACAGCAACAAACCACCTGCTCTACTACTACTACTACTACTACTACTACTACTAGTACTACTCCTACTCCTACTCCTACTCCTACTGCTACTCCTACTCCTACTACTACTACTACTA